GAGTGATGTGAGATGAGGTGGTTGCTCAGGGCTGGATGCTGTGGTGCTCAGACCAGGAGCCCTGTGGGTCAGATCTGTGGTTCCTACTGTCTGTACCACAGGGTCATGGTAAGTGAACTCCAGCCAGTTAAGGTAGGCAATGTTCAGCGTTAGCCATAATCATTCTGTCTTTGAAATCAGATGATCAAGGATAGCGAAGGCCGCTTCACATTTGCGAGATCCAGGACAGCTTGCACTCTTTCAGTTTTGGCAACTTGTATGTTACAGAGCCAGTGTGATGTAGTGGTTAAGAGCATGGAACTGGGACTCAGGCAATCTGGGTTCTAGCCCCCACTTGGCCATACAGCCAATTGGGTGACTTTGGGTCAGTCGCAGACTCAGCCCGTCCTACCCCACAGGTTTGTTCTTGTGGGGATAAGGTTGAGAGCAGCAGGAGGAGAATGATGTAAGCTACTTTGAGTCTGTTATGAGAAAAAAGTGGGATATAAATCTAATAAATAAATCAATAAATGTAAGGAAGCCACCAAGCTGCTCTTTCTTGCTACCAGACTCTTGCTCTATCTCCCTCTTGCCACTTACTCCATTCTCTGACCCGCATAGTGATGTTGGCCTTGGCTTTTCTCCTCTGTTACAAATTCTATATCTGCCTTCCTGATTGCGCTACATTGCAGCATGTACATATCACACTGTAACGTATTCTATGAAGTTGCTTAGCTCAAGATTTATATCATATCACCATAGTTGTTGTTGTTATTAAGGATGTATTTCACCAGTTCCTTCCTCAAGGAGTTATAAGCTGAAAATAGACAGAAAGGGAAACAACGGGGAAGAAGAGAAAATTGGAAGCAGGCGTAAACAGGGGAAGAATATGTGATTATTTCTATTACATGTATTTTGGCTTAGTTACAGAAGAGTATTAGGAAGCTGGGTTGCCTTGCCATATGAAGTGGCAGCATTAGTAACTGAGAGGGGAAATGGTAAACAAAATAAAAATAAAACCATTTTGTATAGGGACAGGAGAAACAATAAAGATATGCACTGCCATTTTATTTTACAAATTCATGGTTTTGGAAAACTGCAAGCTGCCTAAGTAATAACTTACTGCCCAAGGTTAGTAAAGCAATACAAGTTACAGTTAACTTGGCATAAATCTACTGCAGTAGGCTGTTAGTGGAGTTCACAATGAGGCCAATTTGGTTGGGTATATTGTGTGATGTGCATGTGTTTAGAGTGTATCTCATTCTGGTTGAAGTAGGATTTGCATCTTTGCTGGCTCTCACAAACCTGGAGCTAGCTGGGCAAGGCTGAAAGAGAAATTAATTCTCCTACGTCAACTAGCACTGTCAACCACCTCCATGACTGAAGAAGTAACTTGCTTTCTTCTTTCCTTGCCCCCATTCTGTCAGCACCTGCTGATTGGAGGGTCTTGTACAAGCAAGCTTTGCTAGTATAGAAAAATACTTGAGAAAATATATTGGGTAAGAAATGTCAGATTTTAATAATAAAAAACCCTTCTTGACATTTTACAACTGCAATCTGCATGCATAATTTTCATTTAGCTCATATCTAGCATGTGGTCCTCTAATTATCTTACTTAAGGATTTTAGTATGCGCGCCTATGAATAATGGAAAACAGGTGGCCATAAAAATGAAAAACTCTTAAGGTGCTTGTAGCTGGGAGCTCTACAGACATATTTACTCTGGGTAGGAACGTAAAGTTCTTGGGATCGATTGAACAAGGTCTTGACTTTACATTCCAGTTCAGCCATCAATTTGCCAGGTGACTTTTAGCTTACTGATGTGATGATGCAAACATTGAGCATGTCCACCATTTGGGATCCCCCAATAGTGTCTCCTGCATGTTCCCCCAAACATGTTATTGAAAAAGCAGTTCAGAAGTTTGGTGTCTGAGTTGCTTAAGAGGACGTATTGCTAACAGGCTACATTTGAAAACGTACAGCAGTTTACAATGCAAACAAGACAGATGGTGCATGGTTTTTGGCTTTGGAGTAGTCACTATCAACTCAGTTTCTTCATCTCTAAAATACTAATAATGTTTTGCCTTCCATTGCTCGTCTGTCCAGAGTCATATGAATACAGTGGGGTAAAAACTTGAACTCTTAACAGTGAAATTCTAGCTACCAGAAATGGAATTAACATAAAGCCAATAATAGTGAAACACTACAATGAAGCAGTTGACTTTTTTTCAGAGGTTGAACTTCTAAAGCTGGAGATTTTACTCAGTTCTCTGCATTTTTCCTGCTATAAAAAAACTCCTTTTATCCAGGTCGGAAAGTGTGGTAGGTGACACACTACTTCCTCTGACATTGCTTCTAGGGCATAAACAAGTTCAAATGGTGATCAGTGCACTCCAGATATTCATTCAATGAGTGTTTGTCACATATGAGTTTCTGTACTTTCCTTCTCCCTTAAGAATTTTCATTCTTAAATAAGATACTTCTTAGACTTTGCCTTTTGACCACAAGTTAACAAAATTCAATTTTTATATTGTCCATCTTTCTTTGATATCATTACATTGTTGAGGAAATTTACTTTAACTCTAAATAGTTCTGAATCTATAATAGATGAGTTGATGATCTGCAACAACAGCAGCCATTGTTTTCTCTTAAATCTCAGCCCTTTAAGCTTTGACCTTCTGTTATTATTCACTGAAATGGCAAAAAATTAATTAAGAATGTAATCCAATGAGGCTTCTTATAACCCTCCAAACTTGTAGGATTATGGACATCCTATGCAGGACAGGAGGAGCACAAGATCAAAGATGACCTCTGTGCTCCTTGTGCCTTGCAACTTGGCTAGATGGCCTATCGGACAGGGAGGGAAAGAAACTGAGGTGCTGTCAGGAGATGTCATATCTTGGTGGCACTGGTATCCCCCCCCCCCCGCCCAAACACTCTCTTATGACTTCGGAGATGCTGCCAATATAGCAGGGAGGAGGATGGTCTGAGTGTGGAGACCCAGCTCTAAATTTGGAGCTATTTTCCAAACTCAGGGCTAGATTCTCTGGCCCTGTAGACACTTTCTAAAATTAAGGCCTTAATCCTATGCATGTTTAGGCTACCCCCCCCCCCCTACAGATCCCATCCATGCTTGTTGGAGAATGCTGAGGGTTGTAAGGACATTTTCTATCTAAATATGCATAGATTGCATATTCTTTCTAAATATTCTATCTAAATATTCTATCTGTCTAAATTTAGATATTCTATCTAAATATGCATAAATATGCATAGATTGAATTAATTAAAACTTTTTAAATTAAAATTAAACATTAGTGAATTAAATAAGAACATCCAGTTCTCATCTTCATATATTGTGTCTTTTTTCCTGCACTGTAACTTAACTGCTTGTAGTTTAGATTGAAGTATATCTTACTATTTTTCCTTCTTATACAGATTTCTTTGTGCGGAAAGTATGGAGGAATACTGAAATAACTAATGTCTTGACTGACCAGGCAACTTTCCTATTTTCTGCTCCAGCCAGGGATACAAAGATGACACTGTACTTTGACACTGCTTTCTTTTCTGTTGCTCATTTTGTATGATTGTCTTGAAGTGCATTGACTAGATGAATAACTTTCCATGAAACTGTTATTTTGAAAAGCCCAGTGATTAAATACTGAAAGTTCTACCCAGAAAGTGAGATTATCTGATCTGTTTAGCTCAGATAAAAGCTATGTAATGAAATATCCCAATGGTACATGTTTCACGGAAGTATGTTAGGTGATGGTATGATCTTAACAATTACTTAATGCAGGTAAGAGTGTGATCCCTAAAAATGGGTGCATATCTTTGAAATTAATACATTTGACAGGACCTAATCCTATAGCCTCCTGGCATTGTTGTGGTGGGCATAAGATTATTTGGAGCCCCAGCTCTGAGGTACTGCAATCGCAGAGCTGGGATTTCAAATGCTGCCCATGTCTCTGAGCCTGGGCCCCTCACTGAGCCTCTCACCCTGGTTCCCTTACAGCTGGTGCAAAAGGAATTGCTCTGGCTGCCCTTCTGATGTTTGAAACTGGCTTCAGGGAAGAGGAAAAGGGGCATGCTGTTGGGTGAGGCAGGAGGTGGCAGCGGCCAGTGGCTTACATTATATCCAAGTGGCACCCCAGCCTCCTCCTCTCCCTCTCTGTGGTGTTACATCTAGATAGCCAGAAACAGCCATCTTGATTAATTGCAGGGTGTGTGGTTCAGGGCAGTAGTAATCAGCACTCCTCATGCTGCATATCAGATATACATAGATCTCTGAGTTTCCGATTTTATGAGCATTGAGTGTGGAGGGCATTGAATTACATCTTTAATATTTTATAACAGAACATTTATTTATTGATTCTATATCCCACCTTTTTTTCTTTTAAAGAACTAACTAAAAGTTTTACCACTCACACATTCTTTTTAATTTGTCCCCAGCCTCTACATTCTCTGATGATACAAGGCATTAACTCCAAGCACTATTAAACACATATTTTCTACCATATGCAAAACCCTTTGTAAATCAAACACATAGGTTACATATTGCTTTGAATGTAGTATTCTTTTAAGGAAGGCAGTTCATTCTTTGGTTGGTAGTCAAATAATGAATGATCAAGTGATAAACAAAAAATAAAAGATGTAAAAGTACCCAAGTGCTTTATGATTATTTCTTTATTTCCATTGGGTATATTTCCATACATGTATGTCTGAAATGCTTTCTGATTGTTGAGTTCTTTGCCCTGGTAATTTTACTGCTGCTCTTGACAATGCTTAAAAGTATAGAAAATAATTTTCCAAGTGCTTCTGAATACTGAACCCTAGCAGGGTTGGAGTCCATCCAACCGAAAATCTTCCACTAGTATAATCAGTTATATTCCCATTACCCCAGAATATTACTTAAGTTTCACATTTTGAGTGGAGGACAAGCTTACTGCAACTAGCATTCCATAATCATTATTTTTTCTTTGTTCTTCTCTTTCTGTTCCTGCCCCTATTTGTCTCCCTTACTAGAGCTCCAAGCGAGAATGGAAGCCACTGGAGGATCGCAGCTGCACAGATATTCCATGGCTGCTGCTGTTCATTCTCTTTTGCATTGGCATGGTAAGTAACAAAAGATCAGCTCTAAAATGGTCTTGCCATAGGCTTATTTCAGGGATTGAATGACATTTTGACTCCTAATAGGGAGTCAAATTCTTTTAAGGTATGAGGTGCACATGATGTTAATCAGCTGAGCTAAACAACTAATGTGACTGATTTCAGCACATCTGTGAGATCAGTGTATCTTCTGTGGGTGTCAGGAATTGTGCTAAGATTCATCTTCTGTCAACATATTTCTGCCAACACATTTCTTCTTGTAGAATGCTGACCCACTTATCCAAGCACAAATTTAAAACATGCTTGCACTAAGTTTTTTTCTTTCAACAGTTCATTTGACTACAGTTTGTTTATTTTTAAAATTCTTAACTGCTTTTCTTTAAGATTTCAATGTGATGTACATAATAAAATATAAATGTAAGCCTGTATACTAAAATTAAGTACAATAGCCAGCACTGTTGCAATACACTTACTCTCATTTTCACTGCCACTACCTGAGCTTCTAAATGCACTTGGGATAACAAACGTTCATTCAGATCACTAACATGTTATCACAGGAGCTTTAGGAGAACTCAGACCAATGTATTCTTGTTTATTAGACCCTTTTGTCTTCTTTTTATCTTAAGGAAATGGTTTTAATTCCACCACTTGGATGCAATTACGCTATGTATGATTCTGTTTCTTGTTTCTTGTCTGTCTTATATGTTTTGGGACAATCTGTGTTTTTCCTTTTTTTAAAAAAAATCTACACTTCAATAAAAAAGATGAAATTGGAACAGTGTTGTGTTTGTATTATATATCTCTATCACGAGAACATTTTAAAAATAACTTTTAATAGTTTGTTACTGAAAGCTTTTATTCTCATCTTATTTCTTCTCAGGGTCTTATTTGTGGCTTTTCAATAGCTACTGGAGCAGCTGCAAGATTGGTTTCAGGATATGACAGTTATGGAAATATCTGTGGACAGAAGAATATAAAAGTAGAGGGAATAGACAACAGTGGCTTAGACCTCTCAGAAAAGAAGTGAGTATGTAATATATGTATTGTGGCTGTTTTAGTAACTCTGGGAATATAGTATGCTTTCATTTTGGCTGTGCATTACAAGTTTAAGGAGAGTAATGATGGATTTTCGTCGTAGGTTTGAATGTTATGGTGTTATGTCAAGTGATCAATCACTCCTGTGCAGTTCTTATGTCTAGATATTTGTGCAAACTTAAATGTGTTGCTAACATGTACTCTGAAATTTAGAGTTGCTTTGTTGTTTTTGTGGACTTGGACTGAAGTTGATGGTTTTTCAGATGTCTTGAGTGCTACCTACCTCCTCAGGGTTACTTTTATTACTTACAAGTTGATGCCACTTGCAGAGAATGCTATATTAGGGCATATCCAAATACATGTTAGGGCAATACTACACTTGGATTATTATTATACAGAATTAATTGTCCAGCTTTTGTAAATAATTATGAGAATTGTTGTCTTTGAAAGTGCTGAGAATGCTGTTTCCCTTAGAACTACAGTTCACTGGAGCTAGGGAATGACCATTAAACCGGTATGGTACTGTAGATAAGCCCTTGGATGCTCTGGCATTAATATGCTTTTAGGATTATAATTCCTGGCCAATGTGATGCATGCTCAGAGTTATGCATTTCTGAAATATTCAAAGGAGTCTTGAATATCCAAAATGTAAGTATGCAAATATGAGGGACAACCAATGGAAAATTACACCTTAAGATATTAGGGTGGAAAATAGTGTTGTTCGCATGGAGACAGTGGGTTGAATCTGGTTGTGTTTTTTGTGATGGAAACAGTTCACTTGGCAGAATGGGGGCGGGGATTTATCACTCTCCCACAGTTCCTGTGAACTCTCAAAATCTGCTCTGGACGATTGGGCAGATTTTTTGGGCAATGGAGAGGGCTGCAGTGAGGAGCAGAGAGGAAGACAGTTGTCTAGCAAGGGAGGAAGACAGTTGTTGTGCTACCAAGCATCCACTAGAGCCAGGGTGGGAAATGTGGTGCCTTTCAGGCACCAATGCACCTCTAGATGCCTCTCTTGGTGCCACTCAAGATGTTTTACTACTTCCACTTTTTTATTAAACACATTTTATTAGCCCTTGGGATTGCAGTGAAAATGATTTGATGAAACCTAGGTTCAAAGGAATTGTTTAGAGTTTGGTTTGAGCTCAGAGCTCATCTGTACCTTGTAGTTAGTCTTTTGGACAGGTTACTTGTCCTTTGTATTGCCTCAATGGCAGCCATTTTGTGGTGGTGCCCAGAATAGTTCATCAAGTTGCCAAATGTGCCCATGGCTCAAGATAGTTGAAGACCCCTGCAGTAAAGCCACATTTAATTTAAACCAATTTTGTTTGAAGTCAAAGGGGACCAAAATGCTGATTTTCACCCTTTTAATCCTGCAGCACTACTTGACCGCAGCATAAGAACACATTCAAATGAAAAGAGCAAGAGGGTATCATTATAACAATGCGGAATGGAGGCAAAGGCCAAAAGGTACAAATTTCCCAAAAGATGGGATTAAATGGGATTTTACCTGTTTTCACTATCTATTAGATTTGTGGCTTTTGGCTTTTCCTTCTTTCTCCAAAATTCAATGAACAAGCCACAAAACTTTGAAAATCAAAATATTCAGCAAACAAGAAAGAGAAACCTGACCATAGCAATCTGGCTATGTTTATGACTTTGGTACTTTGAGAGAATTAATGAAGGAAACAGTGAGACTTTAAAAGGAAGAAATAAGGTTTGCTTTTTGATTTGATGAAATTTCTGCTTGTGCTTTATTTTGTGACACTTTAAATTATGGTGATAGAATTCTTTTGTGACTTGAGTTCAGTTATGTTTATGGCTTTCCCTGAATGTAATTCACAAGCTGGAATAAGATGTATTAAGTCAAATATGTTGAAAATTTTAAAAATTTCATTGATGAAATATGTACACAGACATAGAACGGGATACAGATTACTTCAGATGGTATATCAAAGCTTGTTTAATTTTTATTCAGAATCCAATCTCAAAAGAATGAATGCTACTACTTACTTTCTGAATTACTTATAGCATGATAATCACAAAATCTCACATATAAGCTTTTCAAGGTATATATCATTTTGATCCACAGGTAATCAAACTGGTTGTAATCAACAGTTCCTGGTAGCCCAGTAACTTCAGATTTGTAGAAACCTCTATTCTGAAGTCAGCTGCAGATTATGTCACTGTAAGATCATGTCAGCAGAAAGCTTTTATTGAAACATACCAAAGAGGACTCATAATAAATGCAGATCTCTGTATAAACAAACGTAACAAAAGGCTCTTCTCACTGCTCATAAAATGGTAATGTTAATGGTTATCTTAATTACTTAAATTGCAAAGAACATCGATAAGAAGCGCATATCTTCCCTGCAAACATAACTTGACTAAATGAAATCCAGTAATGGGCATTCAGCTTATGGACTTAATTTGTTAAGAACTGCAGAGCAATGTCAATATTTTAATATGCAAGAAATGTTTAAGAAAAAAAATACAAATTTGAAACTTGCTAAGTGAAAAAGTATGTGGGTTCTTGGAAGGATTTCCTGGGCCAGGATCTGGGGATGTACATGCACAGTAGGATCCAGATGTAGGTGTATGTAGCTGAGCTGTATCTGGGGCCGTACATACAGGGATTGATCCAGCTGTAGGTGTATGTGGCTGGGCTGGATGATGCTGACTCCTTCCCATGGCAGCCCCTTCAGCTCCTTGAAAAGGCTCTTTGTGGCTTAGACTCAGTTGCTGAATAGGGTGAGCTGTGGCACAGTGGGAAGCAGGCAGAAGCACCTTCTTCAAGTGAGACCATGGCTTTGTGGTAGGGATCACTAGTGGAATGCAGGGTTTACCCTTCAGTGGCACAACACATGGTTTCCATCCAAGAGATCCCAGGTTCAATCTGCAACCTTTCCAGATGGGGCTTGAAAACTTCCTCGGAAACCTTTGTCCAGTTGCCACCAGCCTACCTGGACAATACTGGACTAGCTGGACCAATGGTATGGCTCAGTATAAGGCAGATTCCTGTATTCCGAACCCAGTGAAGTCATGTGTACACTTGAAGATTTCACAGCTTATTTCAGAATATGTTTACACAAAGCTCTCCTGAATTTAAAATGTTGTTTGGAGATTTTAAAAGAGGAATTAGAAAGGGCTCACTAGTGGCATTTCCTCTATAAAAAGCATTTATGCCAAATTGCTAATATGCTTTTTCAGTACAAAGAAAGTGAAAGGGTAGTTTGGGAGTTCTGCAGGGACAATTTCAAAGACAGAAGCTGAGAATTTTGAGTGGGTATGCAAATTATATTCATATTTTCCTTGATTCCCAATTGGATAGCAAGTTGTAAATGCTAAGTACTGATAACAAAGGTATAATTTGACATGTTGGAACTTAACCTTTTGGTGTTATATGAACACAGAGAGAGCAGAGGCAATATGGAATGGTAGGTATAATACTGGGACAGAGGGACCTGGATTCAAATCCATCCTCAGTCAGGAAACTTACCTTGTGACCAATCACTATTAGCCTAACCTACTTCTCAAAGATGTTGTAATCAGTAAATGGGATAGCATCGTGGATCTTGTCCTGTGCTTATTGGAAGAATGATGACATTACAATCCAATTTATTACTTATTCCTTATGCTGATACCCAGCCTTTTTTACCTTTCTCCTCCTCTGTATTTTATCCTCAGAAAAACCTCGTGAAGTAGTTTAGGTTGAGAGTCAGTGCCTGGCACAAAATCAGTGAGCTTCGTGGCTGAGTGGGGAGTAGAACCCAGGTCTCTCAAGTCTCAGTCCTAAACTCTAAACAGTAATGCCACATTGGCTGTTGGATATTCATGTATGCTATCTTCCTTTGTATGTTGCCGTGCTTCCTTGAAACATAGAATGGCATGATATTTATACAGCCCTATGTGTTAGTCTAAGTTGAAAGAAGGATGGATTTATACAATGACAAACCAGAGTGTGGGTTAATGCTGAACTATAGTTTGTTGTTGAACAGGGAGTTGTGCTGTGTGAACACTGGTGTGCTAACAAAATATAATTTGTTAAGTATGAACATCTCAGAGTTCAAAACCAAACAACAAACCATGGGTTCTTTTCATGTATTGTTAACAAGGCATGTTTTCTTTGCACAACAAGATCAGGTTAATAGCAATCCACAATTCAGTGGTGGCTCCCACTCAGTCCAAGTGAGCTTTATTGATGAACTGGGTTTTGAGCTTCCTCTGTGTAAAAGCCCAATACTCCAGCTACTGCACTGGTATTAATACTAGAACTTCTGTTATACTGTCATAATAAAGTCCGGTCCATATTAAGAATTCAGAATAAGTAATGTAGTTAAACACAAAACCGTAACATATGTATTTGATGCATTGCAATACCACTTTTCAAATTAACTTTATAAAGCAGCTTATACAAAATCATTAATACAGAGAGCATAGACTTTTGCATGGTATGCAGTGAAACAAATAAATAATAGGTAAATTATGATGGTTAGTCCCTCTTACTAAAGGCTTCTCCAAATAGATAGGATTACTTCTCCAAATAGATGGGGCTAACTACCCAAGATAGTCCCCAACCTCATTGTGGTACAGATGGTTGCTGCCTCAGGAATACATTTTCCAAGCCCCACAACTGCCACCATCACCTCCCAGGAACCCACTGCATCAGTCTTGGCCTGCCCACCCTTGATGTTGCCCACTGCACATGATGCCACACGCTGCTCCCAGTTGTTGCCAGAATGCGGTCTGGGACCTGGGTTTCAGCTTTCACAGTCATTCAGAACCTTCATCAGCAGGAATCACCATTTTTAGAGAGAGAGGACTACCCATCTGATTCAGCCTCTTGCTCCTCGGTGACACCATCTATCTCCTCACTAGGTGCAGCTATTGATACACAAGACCCAACTTCTCCATCCGAGTTCCTTGCCCATTTCTCCAATTGGATCCTTTGCACAGTTCAGTCCATGGGAATAGAGACAGAACATCCT